CTTGGGTTGGAACAGACCTCTTAAGGTCATCTAGTCCAACCCCACTACAATAAGCATGGATATCTCTAACTAGAACAGGTTACTCAGAGCCCCATCAAGCCTGACCTTGAATGTCTCCAGGGATGGGGCTCCCACCACTTCTCCAGGCAACCTGTTCCAGTGATCCACCACCCTCACATTGAAAATCTTTTTCCTAATGTCCAACCAAGATCTACCCTTCTCTAGCTTGAAAACATTACCCCTTGTCCTACTGTTACATGCCCTTGTGAACAGGTCTTTCCCAGCCTTCTTATAGGTTCCTTTGAGGTATTAGAAGGTCACTATAAGGTCCCCCCAGAGTCTTCTCCAGGTTGAACAACCCCAACTCCCTCAGCTTGTCTTCATGAGAGAGCTGCTCCAGCCCTCTGATCATTTTAATGGCCCTCCTCTGGATACGCTCCAACAAGTCCAAATCCATGTCCATGTTGGGGGCTGCAGAGCTGGGAGCAGTACTCCAGGTGGGTCTCACCAGGGCAGAGGAGAGGGGCAGAATCACCTCTCTTGATCTGCTGGCCACACTTCTTTTGATGCAGCCCAGGATGCAGTTGGCCTTCTGGGCTGCAATTGCATATTGGTAGCTCATGTCCAGCTTTTGAACCACTAGTACTCCCAGGTCTTTTTCCACAGGGCTGCCCTCTAGTATGTCTTCCCACTGGCCTGTATTGATATCTCTGGTTGCCCTGGCCCAGGTGGAGGACCCTGCACTTGGCCTTGTTGAACCTCATGAGGTTCACCTGGGACCACTTCTCCAGCTTGTTCAGGTCCCTCTGGATGGCATCCGGTCCCTCTGGCATATTGACTGCACCACCCAGCTTGGTGTCATCAGCAAACTTGTTGAGGGTGCTCTCAATGCCACTGTAAATATCAATAATGAAGATATTAAAAAACACTGATCCCAGTACAGACCCCTGAGGGACACTACTTGTCACCATTTTCCTTCTGGACACTGAGCAATTGGCCACTACCCTCTGGTAGTGCGACCATGCAGCCAATTCCCTATCCACTGAACAGTCCAACCATCAAATCCGTATCTTTTCAACGTAGAGAGAAGGATGTTGTGGGAGACTGTCTCAAAGGCCTTGCAGAAGTCCAGATAGATGACATCCGTAGGTCTTCCCTTGTCTGCTGATGCAGTGACTCCATTGTAGAAAGCCACTAGGTTGGTAGGCAAGATTTGCTCCTAGTAAAACCATGCTGGCTGTCCTGAATCACCTCCCTGTCCTCCATGTGCTATAGCATGTCTTCTGGGAGGATCTGTTCCATGATCTTCCCAGGCACAGAGGTGAGGCTGACACGTCGGTAGTTCCCAGGGTCCTCCTTTCTACCCTTTTAAAAAATGGGTGGAATGTTTCCCTTTTCCCAGTCACTAGGGACTTCACCTGACTGCCATGACTTTTCAAATATCATGGAGAGTGGCTGGGCAACTACATCAGCCAATTCCTTCAGGACTCTGGGATGCATCTCATCAGGTCCCATGGACTTGTATATCTTCAGGTTCCTCAGACAGTCACAAACCTTATATTCGCTTACAGTGGGAGGGACTTTGGCTCCCTGGTCTCCATCCTGGGGACCATCAACTTGAGAGCCATGAGGAGAGGGGCTGCCAGTGAAGACTGAGGCAAAAAAGTTGTTGAGAACCTCAGCCTTCTCCTTGTCTGTTGTTACTAGTTCACCACTGTTGCTCATCGGGGGGGTACACTTTCTTTAACCTTCCTTTTCTGGTTTATGTACCTGTAGAAGCCCTTCTTGTTTTTCTTTACATCTCTTGCCAAGTTCAACTCCAGCTGCACCTTGGCCTTCCTGAACTCATCCCTACACAAACAGGCAACGTCCCTATACTCTTCCCATGATACCTGTCCCCACTTCCACTGCCTGTGTATGTCCATCTTGCCTTTTAGTTTGACCAGTAGTTCTTGACTCAGCCATGATGGCCTCCTGCCTTCCTTGCCTGTTTTCCTACACCTGGGGATTGAGATCTCTTGCACTTTATGGACAGCATCCTTAAAGATCTGCCAGCTCTGTTCTGCTCCCTTGTCCCTGAGGGTTGTTTCCCATAGGGTCCTACTTACTAACTCCTTGAAGAGCTGGAAGCTTGCTTTCCTAAAATTCAGAGTCCTGACTATGCTTCTCATCTGCCTCATACCCCTTAGGACAGTGAACTGCACTGGTGCATGATCACTGCAGCCCAGGCTGCCTTCAGCTTTGACATCCCTGATTAGTTCACTTGTATTTGTGACAATCAGGTCCAGTAACACATCCCCTCGGGAAGGGTTGTCAATTTCTTGTCTTAAGAAGTTGCCATGGAGGCACTCCATGAGTCTCCTGGATTGCCTACAGCTTGCCATGCTACTTTTCCAACAGATGTCAGAGTGATGTAAATCCCCCAGCAGGATGAGAGCTTGTGATCGTAATGTCTCCTCGAGCTGTAGTAAGAAGGCTTCATTGATAGTCTCCACTTGATTGGGTGGCCTGTAGTAGAGTCCAACCACAAAACTCCCTTTGCTGTCCCGATCCCTAATTCCTACCCATAAGCTTTCAACCTTCTCATGGCTATTCTTTAGGGACAACTCTTCACACTCTATCCACTTCTTTACATAGAGGGCAACACCTCCCCCCCTTCTTCCTCTCCTGTCCCTTCTGAATAGCTTGTAGCCATCGCTAGCCACACTCTAGTAATAGGATTAATCCCATCAAGTTTCCATAATTGCCACTATGTTGTAGCTTTCCTGTAGAATGGTAGCTTCCAACTCATCCTGTTTGTTGCCCATGCTGCATGCATTGGTGTAGAGGCACTTCAGCTGGGCTGCTGGCTGTATCACCCACTTAGAGGAACACTCCTTTATTTTCCCAAGGCATTTCATGGATGCCTTGCTGTCTCCTATTTTCTCAGGAGCCCCTGTCTCATCTTTGTAAGACTTTGCCTGTGCCACAGAGTCTACAGCATGCTTCAGGGCAACAGGTTGAAGGCCCTTACTATCACCCCATCCTTCCAACCCAGGTGTGTCTTCCTGCCGCTTGTCACAGACAATCTCAATGTTATTATCCCACTTCCCCTTCATATCTAGTTTCAAGTCCTGTCAATCATCCCCACAATCTCTTGGCCAAAGACCTTCTTCCCCCTCTGAGAAAGGTGTCTCCCATTTGATGCCAGCAATCCTGGTGCCATGTAGGCCATCCCGTTATCAAAACCCCAAAATTGTGCTGGTGACACCAGCCACAGAGCCATTTGCTGATAGATTGGATCCTTGTGTTCCTTACAATATCACTGCTTTCAACTTGGAGGAAGAAAAAATAACCTGTGTCCCAGAGTCTCTCACTAATCATCCCAAAGTCTTGATTGTTCGTGGACTACTAGTTGTTGCTTCCTCTCCACCCACATGGAAGATCAGTAGTGGGTAGTAATCTGTAGACCTCACTTCGCTAGGAAGTTTTCTAGTGATGTCTTTAACATAGGCTCCAGGGAGACAGCAGATCTCCCTGCAAGGAGGGTCTGTGCAGCATATTGGACCCTCTGTTCCCCTCAGAACAGAGTCGCCTACAACTAGAACTCTTTTTCCTTTTGTGTGTGGTGGTGATACGGGTAGTAGGCCTGTCTGACTGTGTATACAACTCTGGTGTAGCTTGCCTATTGCCCCCATCCTCATTCAGCTCTTCCTTCTTGACCAGAGCTTCGTACCTATTGCTCAGAGGCACTTGGGGGGGGGGGGGGCAAAGTGAGCAAGAATGGATTTCCCCTGCTGCCCTTATCACAAACTTCCTTCCACTCACGCTTTTCATTTAGGCTTCTGCCTTTGGCCTGACAGGGGCAGGATACAGAGGCCCCTTGATCCTGAGTGTTCTGATGGGTGCACCTGTTTCTGTTTAAAGGAGGGCAGAGCCTGGCTCTACCAGCCTATCTCCTGTTCAGCCTCCCTAATGCTCCTTAACCTTTCAACCTCCTCACACAGCTCTGCCACCAGGCTGAGCAGATCGTCCACCTGTTCACAGCAGATGCAGCAGTTCCGATTACTGCCACTTGTTGCCAGTGCAAGGCTCTGGCACTCCTTGCAGCCTGTGACCTCGACCGCTGCATGTTTTCATGGGAGTTCTGTCTGGGTTGCTGCATCCATTCTGGCGAGTGTTGGGGTCACTGGCTTCCACCGAGTGGTCACGCTTTCAGCAAGAAAGCTGTTGCTTCGCTCTTCACCGACCGAGCGTCACTTCCAGTTTTGCCCGTTCCCTTCCTCATGCTCACCTGCACTCGTGGCTCGCTCAGCACCTCTGCGATGGCTAGATGCATTTAAGCCCTGCAGTTGCCCCGGCAACACCCCCAGCCACATCAGCCTCTCTCGTGAGAGCTGCCGACTCTCTCTCTCTCTCTCTGATAATTGTTTAAAACGTGAGACAAGAAAGGAATTAATACCTTGTTAGCAGTAGGTCTGGGTAACACAGCTTGTACAGATGTCTCCCTCTATGTCATCTTCTAAACTGTATTCCTATCCGTCTCACCTTCTCTACCACTGCTACTCCATCTGTCAGCTTAATGTGCTGTCCTGTGTCTAGGTCTTCCCCTCAGCTTGTTTTGAAATAATATCTCATAGCATTCATAAAGCCATAATTTCATGCTAAGTATTTTTTTATCTCTCTCAATCATGCCTTATAAAAATAAATACTTTTTTATTAAATTTCATACTGATAGGAGGGATTCTTATAGGAGCGCTTTCTACTGATGAAGATAATTTTCCTCATATTCCTTTTAAAATTACAATTATTATTACAAAGAAATATATTTTGTTAATTGCTAAAAAATAGTATTTCTATAGTGTAAGGAGATAACAAAAGGAAGATAAATTCAACTTTTTACTTCAGAGCCTAAATATTAAAAATGAGAAACAAGAGATGAAATGCAGTAGAAAACTAAAGAAAAAATGAAACTACAAACTAGGACATTATAAATTGCATCCAACACAGATTTTATTTACCTTAAGCCATTTATCAACACATTTGGCATGAAACTCATGGTTACAGGGTAAGACTCTAAGTAGCTGCCTTGCCTCAAAGTCACACATACACACTACACACCTAAAAAAAACCACAACAACATTTAATTTTAGTTATATTAAAATAAAAAACAGAAAACTTGCTTTGAGTATTTCTCAAAGCCATAACTAATTAAAGATCACACACATTTTTTATGACGAAAAATTTCTCCTTAAATTACATCTATATTCTGTTGTACATGTTTTATAAACACATTTCTTCCCCAGGTATATAATCAACTTAAGGTCTCTGGTACTTTTATTTTTCTTATTCCCTGCTATGTTAATGTTAACACTGAAGATTGCTCTATGTGAAAGACCAGAGAAAAGAACTCTTCTGTTCCATTTCAAACGTTTGATAGCACTATATATCACTTTCACTGCCTCCCACCTATAGCTCATTTCTCTATTATGTCAGTCTTCCAAAAAGATTTAGTCTTAAAAATAAGAAAATATAGCTGTAAACATCAAAGACTGTCAAAAGCTCTTCTAGGAGCACTTGAAATTTTGGTAATTGGAAAATATTTCAATATAGGCTGAATTCCAAGTTGATGATGGCCATTCAATATCTAGTATGCCAAACAAAAATTTGGAAAACTTTTAAAATACCGAATAACTAAATCTGAACATCTAACTGAAGTGGACTATGCAGAATTTTAAAGCTACGACAAATGATATCTGATTTGAAAAATGTTTTTTTTTAAATTATCTTTTTTATTTGAGAGCTTTTAGAGCACATGTAGTACAGTATTTGCCTAGTTGAGACTGCAGCCTAATGGAATGGAAACACAATCACATAAAGCATGTAAATGTGAGACAGATTAAATTAGAGACTTAAGGGTAAAATTTGCCAAACCTATATGATGCTGAATAGTAGAATCTGTTAATGTTTGTTAGAGGTATTGTGTTGAACTAGGATGTGTCTCGCCTGAGAGCCCAATAAGCAGGATTCAGCTGGGTACATCAGCCAACCTGCCAGAATGAGGAACAACATGACCCAGCACAGCAAAGAAGACTACGAGCCTTCCTCCAAGAGACCCCTGCCCACGATCACCGAGAGGCAGTGCACATGCGGCAATGGGCGTGGCTTTATGTTAATGACTTTGGGGGAATTATTTAAATATTATAATGAATCCAGGGAATTAATCTGTATAATCCTGCCTACCTTTTAGAAAAGTAATGCATATGTATGTTTTAAGTGAATAAATATGTATTGCTCTTATCTGTTTGTGTGCGTGTTTGGAGGAGCGATCTCCTGCGCACACAGCGCTGCAATAAAGAATACCTGCTTTATAGCTTCTCGGGGCTATAGAGTCTTTTCCTTGCATCAATTTGGTGACCCAGATGGGACCCGCTCTGTCCGGCTGCAGGACCTACTGAGGATGGGACTCCCTAGGGCGCCCCTGAGATTTCTCAGAGGGACTCCTCAACTCATTCAGATCACTGCAGGGACAGACAAGGACCATCTCAATGGACAAGGTATTCTTTCTCTTTTAAATTTTTTAACTGTAACAGTAACTGTAGGGCCAGCAAGGTTGGTATCCCATAAGACGTTGGAGACATCCTGCGCGGGGCAGGGTGCAGGAGTCCAGAGTCCCAGAGTACTCATGTAACTTTTTCAGCAACCCACGACTGTGGATTAGAGGCCCACCTTAGGCCCTTTGGGGTATATCCTGGACTTGTGTGTTTAAAAGGTGTAATCTGAATTTGGTCTGGAATTTGGAGTCGTGATTGGGATAAGGTTTTTGAGTTGTTTTAATCTTTTGTTTATTGTGCCTGTCCCCTGTATTTTTGTGAGTTGTGTTGAAGTGAATGTGGAGTGAATGTGATGTTATTAACACGAAGTGAGTGCAGAGTCTTGAGCTGCAGTTCCACTGTCCTGAGAGGGATATGATCAGCGACAAAGTGAGTGGTGTGAAAGGCTTGAGAGAAAACAGACACGCCTGAGACATGCAATTGAGCATGGAGTGAGTGAGGAGTTCTGATACGCAATTCTGTTATCCCGCGAAGGGTGCGGCCAGAGATGAACGAAGTGAGTGAGATATTAAGTAACACTAAGAGCACTCTGGGAGTTGTATGGAAAGGGAGTCAAGGAAAGCAGTGTGTATACTCTTTCACTTGGTAATGTTTCATCTTTCCCTGTCCCCAGTGTAAAAATTGTCATCTAGCTGCTGAATTGGTGTGGAGAGATTGCTACTGGCTTAAATTTCCCCGAATATGGTATTTGTGGAATTCTCTTGAGTAATATTGTGACATTTGTGGAAAGTTTTGTGTTATATTTGATACATACCTCCCCACCTAGTTTTGTTCTCATAACCGAAAGAGGCTTATTCCTGAACAAGAACAACAATTAGAAATTCAGAATGGGTGGGTCACAGACTGGAGGAATTTTGAGAAAGAGTCCACTAGGCTGTATTATAGCTCATTGGAAAGATATAGGCGGACTTCCAGGAGGGAGCATAAATCAAAAAACTCTAATTAAATATTGTCAAAGCAATGGCTGTAGCCACAGTAGCTGCTTTAGAGCAAGAAATAAAAGGAGGAAATAACAAAAGCTATAGAGCCTTAAGGAACCCTGGCAAAAATATAAGAACCAATCAGCCCAGAGGTATATCAAGGGATCAGTGTGCCTCTTGTAAAGAAAAGGGACACTGGAAACAAAATTGTCCCAAGTAATAACCAAGGCAGATTTTAGCTGCCACCTATGAGGAGGATTGACAGGGACCTGGGGAGTCCACCCTAGCAGATCCACTGGTTATAGTAAAGCTAGGGAAAAAGGAACAAGAAGTGGAATTTTAACAGACACAGGGGCTTCCATTTATGTATTGAATCAAGAATTGGCACCAAAAGATCAAGATTTTGTTATAGTAGTGGGTGCTACTGGCCAGCATGAGAAGGCATTTTTCTTGAAACCTCTTAAATACAAACTAGGAAAACAAATAGGAATACACAGATTTTTATACATGCCTGGGTCTCCAAAACCCCTACTGGGACGAGACCTGTTGGAACAACTGGAAGCAAAAATTGAATTTGATAAAGGAAAAATCTAATTGGAAGTTGAAGAAAATAGATTAATTGAAATATTAAGTTTGGCCTTGATACATACCCCAACTAAGTCCAATGTGCCTGAAGAGATAATGGACCAGGTATATCCTAGAGTATGGGCATCTGAGGCACCTGGGAGAGCAAAAACTGCTGCCCCAGTGATCATAGGACTAAAGGCTGGGACACAACCCATAAGGATTAAACAGTATTCCTTGAAATTAGAGGATCGGAAAGGGATAAAAGAGGTAATAGAGACGTTTGTAAAACATGGGTTGTTGGTGGAATGTGAACACCCATTCAAAAACCTGATGGTAACTATAGATTGGTGCAGGACCTGAGAGCTATAAATAAGATCACTGAGGATATACATCCTGTGGTATCCAACCCATATACACCGTTAACTAAGCTAAGGGATGAACTAGTTTGGTTTACTGTGCTGGACCTAAAGGATGCATTTTTCCACCTGCCTCTAGCCTCAAGAATCAACCTCTGTTTGCCTTTGAATGGGAAAACCCAGATACTGGGAGAAAGTTTCAGTTAACCTGGACTGTGTTACCTCAAGAATTCAAAAATAGTCCTACCATCTTTGGGTATCACTTAGCAAAAACCTTGAGACTTGGGAGCCCCCAGACCCTGAAGGGGTCTTACTGCAGTATGTGTATGATTGATTGCTTGCCACCAGGACAAAGGAAAGCTGTATAAGCTGGACTGTGAGTCTTTTGAACTTTTTGGGCCTTAATGGGTATCGAGTCTCTCCACAGAAAGTGCAATTGATCCAACAGCAAGTCATCTACCTGGGATATGCGATCTCTGGAGAACAGCAAATGCTGGGAATGGAGCGAAAAGAGGCCATTTGTCAGACACCCCTACCACAGACGGTAAAAGAATTACAGACCTTTCTGGGAATGACAGGTTGTTGTCTTTGGAGTTATAAATATGGACTTCTAGTAAAGCCACTATATGAACTGATAAAAAGGAATCAGTCCACAATAACATGGATGGGAGATACATGAAGGGCCTTCTAGCAACTCAAATAGGAATTAGTGAAAGCCTCTGCTTTAGGGCTGCCAGATGTCTCAAAGCCCTTTTGGCTATTCTCCCATGAGAAGCAGGGAGTAGACCTGGAAATACTAGCACAAAAGCTTGGTCCCTACAAGAGAGCCGTGGCATACTTCTCCAAGGAATTGGATGAAGTAAGCAAAGGATGGCCTAGCTGCCTGCGAGCAGTAGTTGCAGTCATCCTTAACATCCAAGAGGCTCATAAATTCACTATGGGACAGAGAATATCTGTTCTAGTCTCCCACACAGTTTCTGCAGTGCTTGAACAAAAAAGGGGGGCATTGGCTGTCACCACAACAGTTTTTCAAGTACCAGGCAATCTTGGTGGAGCAGGACGATGTTGAAATTGTTGCCGCTAACATTGTCAACCCAGCCTCTTAGTGACACTCCTGGAGAGCCCGTAACAAATGATTGCCTTGAGACTATTGAGGCAGTGTACTTGAGTTGGTCTGACCTGAAGGAAGAACCCTTGGTTAATGCAGAGGACTCCTGGTACACCAACAGGAACAGCTTTGTTCGACAAGGGACACGTAAGGCCGGATATGCAGTGTCTACCATTGACCGGGTAATAGAGTCCAATGCCTTACCTCCAGGAACCTCATCTCAGAAAGCAGAGATCATCGCCCTTACCCAAGCTTTAGAATTGGCAAAAGGAAAGAAAATTAATATTTGGACTGAGTCCAAGTATGCATTTGGTGTAGTTCATGCCCATGGATCTGTATGGAAGGAGCATGGACTATTGACTGCCTGTCCTGGTTTAAGCCAGGATGAAGCCACTTTTCCTTTTACTGATTTTTATTTTTTTTTTCCTTCAGTAAGTGTTCCAGCTTGAACTGATAACAAATGCTGGAATGTTTTTGTAATTGCTGGGATTCCAAGGTCATGTCTTTGCTCTGCTGGCTCAGGCACTACTGGGAGATCTATGACCCTCCCCATAGGAGGCTGAATTAGACAGACAGCAAAATTGGCCAGAGACATTCCATTCCATACAACTACGTAAGCTCAGAGGAAGGTCAGAAATCACAGAAGACAACTTCCTTCCTTCTTCTTCTTCCCTGCTCTTCTGTCCATGGCCGGCATCCAGGGAGGACTCCATCTATCCATCACCATCGACCCCCAGGCTATGCATCCTTCAACCCTCATAACACTATGCTCTCTCCAGCGGCAGTCTGGGACTTTTCGGACTGTTCACAGCTAAGGAGAGTGCTGTGGGAGTTGCTGGGGGTGGGGGGAGGCAAGGGGCTTTTGCACATATCTGAACATATTTGTATATAATTGTATATATTTTCTTTTATCATTAGTTTTTAATTCAAGCTTTGTAGCTTAGTTTTCAATCCAGAGAGTCTCTCTTCTCATTTTTTCTCTCCTTCCCTACCTGGGTGGGAGGGGGAGGGGATCAAGAGCATTGTTGTCGTTCCTGAGTCAAACTGTGACACTGCTCAAGGGAAACAAATAAAACATGCTGAGAAAACGTTATAACTTTTGGATGCCATACAAATGCCCAAAAGAGTGGCAATCATACACTGTAAAGCCTACCAGAAAGGGAATACTGACCAGGAGATTGGAAACATGATGGCTGACCAGGAGGCATGACTGGTAGCTGAAGAGGAGCATGTTGAGGTTACAACTTTGGTCCTGGATGGTAAAATCCAAACTGATATAAAACCTAAATATTCAAAGGAGGGTTAAAATTGATAAAGGATTTGGAGGGAAATATTTCAGAGGATGGATGGGCTAGAACAGCAGACGGATGATTAATAGTGCCTTTTGCCTTATTATGGACTCTAGTAATGGCAGAACATAGAAAGACCCACTGGGGAACTGTATAAATCTTTGAACAAGCAAATAATAGCTCAAAACCTGTACACCACTGTGAAGCAAGTCTCACGGCAATATGAAATATGCTTACAAAATAACCCCCAAAACAATTCTCATGTGCAGTTGGGGACAATTGGTAGAGGAAATTTTCCAGGGCAACAGTGGCAAATTGATTTCTCAGAACTACCAAGGAAAATGGGGTATCGATACCCATTGGTATTAAAAGACACTTTTTCAGGTTGGCCAGAGGCAGTCCCATGCAGAACCAACAAAGCAAGAGAGGTAACAAAAATGTTGTTACATTAAATAATACCATGTTTGGGGGTACCAGCAGTGATATCCTCTGATAGAGGACCACATTTTTGTGCCAATGTTGTTCAACAAGTAAGCCAGATCTTGGGCATAGACTGGCAACTGCATACCCCCTATAGGCCCCAATCGAGTGGTCAGGTGGAGAAAATGAACCACCTAATAAAACAACAAATAGTGAAACTGGGACAGGAAGCCAACCTTCCCTGGCCACAATCTTTAGCCTTATTGAGAATAAGGGCTAAACCAAGAACCAAAGAAAATCTGAGCCCCTTTGAGATAATGAATGGGCAGCCATATTCAACTCAGCCCATGGAAAGTACTCCTAAATTAGGTGAGGAGAGCCTATCCCAGTATGTTATTTCTTTAAAGAAACAATTAAAGAAGATTAACCAACAAGTGTTGGGTACCAGGGCAAGGGGTTTAGATTAATCAATTCATAATTTATTGCCAGGTGATTATGTATATGTTAAGAGTTTTACAGGCTCACTGCTGGAACCAAAGTGGGAAGATCCTTTATAGGTTTTGCTGACAACCCACACTACAATCAAGATACTATGTGCAGTTGTAGGGTTTGTATATGCTTGGGATCATATAATTTAGGTGCAAAAGAATTTGCACAGTAACAGAAAAAGGGGGGGATTGAATTAGAGACTTAAGGGTAAAATTTGCCAAACCTATATGATGCTGAATAGTAGAATCTGTTAATGTTTGTTAGAGGTATTGTGTTGAACTAGGATGTGTCTCGCCTGAGAGCCCAATAAGTAGGATTCAGCTGGGTACATCAGCCAACCTGCCAGAATGAGGAACAACATGACCCAGCACAGCAAAGAAGACTACGAGCCTTCCTCCAAGAGACCCCTGCCCACGACCACCGAGAGGCAGTGCACATGCGGCAATGGGCGTGGCTTTATGTTAATTACTTTGGGGGAATTATTTAAATATTATAATGAATCCAGGGAATTAATCTGTATAATCCTGCCTACCTTTTAGAAAAGTAATGCATATGTATGTTTTAAGTGAATAAATATGTATTGCTCTTATCTGTTTGTGTGCGATTGCAGATAATTGCTACACAGGTATTTACTTCTAAAAAAATCCATGTCTCTAGGCAGTAGTCAGAGTATAATAGTCTTCGAATTCATCATATATTTCCTGGAAAATGTATTTTTAACTTGTCATGCCTCCTGACCAAAAGCAGAAATCTGCCTGCTGAGAAGAAACCATAGGAGTGTTCATCTAACTAGTGATGAATGAGTGCCCCAGCAATAAAATAGTGACTTGTTTTGATAGGCTAATCCCCACACTCAGACTTGTGTGTTGAGGGAGCTGGCAGAAGTCATTGCTAGACCACTCTCCATCACTTCAAATGTTCTGCAGCAACTAGACTATTGCTCTTTAATCGCGAACAGCTGTTAAATATTTTTAAATTATTTTACCAGAGTTTGTGAAAGTCTGGCAGCTAATTACTTTTAATTGTACATAAATTTACTAATTTCCAGTTCAATAGGACATCCTTTGTCATAGATGTGCCAGGATTGGCTCTTAATGGCTTCAGCCTAACTGGCTGTTACTGGAAACAATTCATGCCCAAAATAGTTTTCCAGATTTCCTTACCTGCATGAGTTCCGAAAACTACAATTAAAACAAAAGAATTAAATTACATAGTTTTCAAAACAGTTTTATCAAAGAAGCCTTTAATATCCTTTCCTTCACTCCCACTGGAATGGGCTAAGTATAACATACTTAGAATAGGTAGATCTTGAAAAGCTTTGTCTTTTCCCCACATTCAAAATCTGGAATCTTAACATCTCCAATCACAGAATCAGAGAATTGCAGAATTGTCATGGTTGGAAATGACCTCTAAGATCACTAAGTCCAACCATCAACCCAGAAAAAAAACCACCTCCCTGGTCAGCCAGTTTCACTGCCTGACTTCTCCTTCAGTAAAAAAATTCTTCATAATATCTAGTTTAAACCTTTCCTGGCACAACTTAAGGTGCCTTCATCAGCCTCAAAAACCATTCAAGTTAATGATCCTTCCTGACAATTGCAATGGAAAAGAATAAATTTATAATGCTTCCCCAAAACTGGGAGAGAAACTGAAGAGCTTATGGGTGGCTTAATGTTACTTTGGATAGTTGAAACTGCACTTTGTGTTTCAATTTGCTGGTTCATACACTTCAACAAAACTATTCTACATACAGAACACCAATAGTCTATTTAAACATGAATTTTAGGACCTAGAACATTCATAGACTCTTCATTTATTTTATCTTTAACAGAAGGACAGTAACAGTCAGTTGTAGTGCCATCATGTTAAACCTTGTATGAATCACAGAATCATAGAATGGTTTGGACTGGAAAAGACCTCAAAGATCACCTAGTTCCAAGCCCCCTGCATGGGCAGGGACACCTCCCACTAGACCAGGTTGTGAATTAGAGACTTAAGGGTTAAATTTGCCAAACCTATATGATGCTGAATAGTAGAATCTGTTAACGTTTCTTAGAGGTATTGTGTTGAATTGGGGTGTGTCTCACCTGAGAGCCCAAGAAGCAGGATTCAGCTGGGTACATCAGCCAACCTGCCAGAATGAGGAACAACATGACCCAGCACAGCAAAGAAGACTACGAGCCTTCCTCCAAGAGACCCCTGCCCACGACCACCGAGAGGCAGTGCACATGCGGCAATGGGCGTGGCTTTATGTTAATTACTTTGGGGGAATTATTTAAATATTATAATGAATCCAGGGAATTAATCTGTATAATCCTGCCTACCTTTTAGAAAAGTAATGCATATGTATGTTTTAAGTGAATAAATATGTATTTGCTCTATCTGTTTGTGTGCGTGTTTGGAGGAGTGATCCCCTGCGCACACAGCGCTGCAAAAAAGAATACCTGCTTTATAGCTTCTCGGGGCTATAGTCTTTTTCCTTGCATCAGATGTACTTACAATGTCTGTTCTGATTGATAATTGCTTGGATTGAACTTGTAAGATGGGAGCTGTTCAATGTCTGCCTTTGTCAGTCCTCGAGGTTTGGCTTCTCCTAGACGTTCTGCCAAATTCAGTAGTGCCTACAAAACAAGGATTTTGGACTTTTTTAACATTAATTGCTCAAACAAGTTCCAGCTCTACCAGAAGTGATTTCTTCTGCCATGTCACTATCCCACCAGGTAGCACAACCCACCTCTCCATCACGACACATTTAGTCTTGCTTCGCTTTCTCTACGACTGCAAGCACTAAGGAAAGTTGGCTATAAAAGTTTGATCATTGATTAATCCTTCTGAACTGAATAAGATAGTATTTTTTGGATTTTTAGATATCCATGACCTAAGAGTTAATAATTCCTGCAGCTTGATACATGTTTAGCTTTGGAAGTGAACCTCCTTCTCCCATCCTCCACACAGAAGAAAATGTTAACAAACTTGCTTTCTACTAATATGCAACTAATAATAATAACAACAACAATATCCTAGCCCTGAGTGGCCAAGAGCTTAAAGAGACAACTTTTGACTCCCATTCCACTTCTTGGGCTAGATGAATTGAGACATGGAGATTTTATGCTGAATCTTTGGAAATAAAGGCATGACATCAAACTAAATAGAAATACTTTCTGAATAAATTTTGTACTCGTTCATACAGGTAAAACACTATACTTAAGTGCTCCTCATGCAAATAATTTCTGCTCCATCATGAAGGGCTCCAGAAAAGTATCAGTATCAACTTGATAGAGAACTGAAACAGTAGAAGTTCAGAGATTTGATGAAAGATGCAAAGAGTAAAGATACTCAAATAGCCCAAAACCTGAAGTCCAACATAGATTCATAGAATAGAATCATAGAATCATAGGTTGGAAAAGACCTCTAAGATCATAAAGTCCAACCATCAACCCAACACCACCATGCCAACTGAACCATGTCCTGAAGTGCTACATCCACATGTTTTTTAAACATCTCCAAGGATGGTGATCACCACTTCCCTAGGCAGCCTGTTCCAATGCCTGACCACTCTTTCAGTAAAGACGTATTTCCTAATATCCAATCCAAACCTCCCCTGGAGCAACTTGAGATCATTTCCTCTCATCTTATCACCGGTTACATGGGAGAAGAAACAGACACCCACCTCACTACAGTTTCCTTTCAGGCAGTTGTAGAGAGCAATGAGGTCTCCCCTCAGCCTCATCTAGACTAAACAATCCCTCAGCCACTCCTCATAAGACTTGTGCTCCAGACCCTTCATCAGCTTTGTTGCTCTTCTCTGTACACGCTCCAGCAATTCAACGACCTTCTTGTAGTGAGGGGCCCAAAAGCAAACACAGTATTCGAGGTGTGGCCTGACTAGCACCAAGTACAGGGGAAAAATGGCCTCACTAGTGCCAAGTACAGAGGAAAAATCACCTCAGGACTAGATGGCCACACTTTTTCTGATGCAGGCCAGGATGCTGTTTGCCTTCTTGGCAACCTGGGCACACTGCTGACTCATGTTCAGGTGGCTGTCAACCAGCACCCCCAAGTGCCCTTTTCCACCAGGCAGCTTTCCAGCCACTCTTCCCCAAGGCTGTAGCATTGCCTGGGATTGTTGAGACCGAAGTGTAGGACCCAGCACTTGGCCTTGTTGAACCTCATACAATTGGCCTCGGCCCATCAATCCAGCCTGTCCAGGTCCTGTTGTAGAATCCTCTTACCCTCAGGCAGAAAAGGGTAGGAAGGTTCTCAACTTAGTATCATCTGCAAACTTACTGAGGGTGCGCTCAATACCCTTGTCCACACCATTGATAAAGATATTAAACAGAACTGGTCCCCAAATGGAGCCCTGCTTGTGACTGGCTGCCAACTGGATTTAACTCCATTGACCACAGCTCTCTGGGCTTGGCCATCCAGCCAGTTTTTAACCCAGCAACGAGTTGATGCCAGCTACAAGGTGATGCTTCTTTTCACTAACACAAGAAGCATTATAGGTCAGCTTTATGATCTTAAGAGGTCCCTTCCAACCCCTATGATTCTATGATTCCAGCATTAATGCTATGCAACTGTGTAAATACATATCTCTGAGCAGAAGCAAGGAGAAATGGATACATGAGGAGGGGTAGGCTGAGGCTTTCTGGACAGAATCTGGTAGGAATCTAACAGCTTGAGAAGCAGCAAGGACAAGAGTTGGGATCGGCCCTTGATTATCTAAGACACTGCTGACATTTTATTTCAAAATATGTGACTTGCTGTATCCTCCTTTTCAAGAGAAAATATACATTGATTCTTGCCAACATCACATTTACCTGAATTGATCCTATAATGTTAACACTAATCTGTAAAGTTAGCAAGGAGCATAAAAAGCACTAAGCAAGTTCAAAAGAATAGGATATTTATGTTCAACATTTAAAAATCAAGTAAAATGCAAAAAGAAGAGACATGTCTAGAATGGAAACTTGAGGAATTTAATCCATCACTAATATGAAAGGAAAGGGAAAGGCAATAGATAGAAAATAAGTGTGTTGCTAATATCCAGTGTTAGAAACTAGTATGAAAAAAGTGTTTCTAGATCCTATCTTCATAAACATTATATTTATTTAATCCCAGTTTTGTCTTCAAAAAGCAAAATACCATTTCAGTTAATGTATTAAGTTAATCCCAGCTCCTGATGAATTTCTATTTCACACACCAACCTCGTAGTTTTCCACCTCTCCATCTTCCATGCTCAACTCAAAACTGAAAGCTGGTCCGACTGCATGTGGCACTGGAAGCACTGATCTACCAGAAGAAAAAACAACAGCAAGGCTCAACATCTTCCTGAAGGAAAGCATGCAAACATATGGCAGAGGTAGCATTATGTTATTGATCCTTCTTAAATCAACAAATTCTAAGAATCAGTAAAAAAGGTTAACTTGGAAATTAAGAATTAAAATTCAAAGGAGTCAAAGGAAAGCTAATTGCACCACTTTTATATATATATTGCTATGACAACTCATACTTACAGTAAGAATCAGTGTTACTACATGTAGAGTCTTGAAATGAATAATTGTCTCAAAACAGCCACCCTGATAAACTAGACATTGTGCTTGGGTGGGGTCCTCATTCAATAAGCCATCTGGACCCTGTTCTTGCAAGGGGAGCCCCTTGTTTGGTAACCACTCTGATAAATTGTGGTGGTTAAGACACGGACTCCTGGGTGAGAAGCAATGGAATCGTTTATTAGTAGAAAATGCTCCCTTAAATACTTTTACAGTGGGAACTGAGAAATAAGCAACCAGGGTACAAAGAATATAAACAGCACTCGCACCTGCTTCTTGGCACATACACAGACCTTAGGTTCCCAGGATGTAGCCAATCACATACCGAGCACACGATAAACAGTGTTCTGATTTTTGTCAACATTCACAGTGCTGCTCACAACAAGCCCTGGCCCTTAGCTGGTCTTATATTGTTTTATCTACTTCTTTACAGAGAGAGGAGGCCCTTTTTCTTTTCCCATGGCTATTCTCCACAATAAATGGGACACTATCCTTATTCAATAAGAAACAGTGGCCAGGAAGAGGAGCTCTGTGGAGACAGAATGCCATCTTGTGAAAGACCGCTTTCATGTTTAAAGACAAAGTGCATGCGGTAAAATAAGGGTCATTGCTCAGTCAACCTGGTTGGGGGGGGAGCAAGTGATCACCTGGACCCCCATGCCCCACTGACTCATTTCCAGAATATTCTCGATCTGAGAATATTCTGAGTCTGCACAAAGTAGGCCAAGCCTCACACAGGAAAGGCAGAGCCAGGTGGCATAAAAGAGGCAGGCTCAAAACGCTTGGTTTGCACATCTGCCATCCAAGGACCACAACATTATGCCGAGATAGTTGCCGGATCCAAGGGTGGTGATATCTTTTCTATATCGTTTTTCTTCATCTCTCTCTTTCTAACTTTATTCTTGGCACATAAGGCTAACACCATTTCTAATTTTCCTAAGTTTTTGTCAGTTGTAACCTGTTGTTTTGAGAGTGACAGTGTGTTTTTGGACAAGCTTTATAATCCTACTCAATTTTAAGTAAATTTGTGTTTTGTATAAGCCTCCTGGCTTACTCTTAGAGTACCACACAGAATTTAAGAGGTTAATCTTGCCGAATGAGTTGTTAAAAGAAATTAAGAGAGGGTTGATCCCACCTCTGGTGAGCTCTAGCTGTATCCACCTGGTGGGATGTGACACTACAGAAATTCATCTCTTGATAGCCTGCATCACAGAGATAATATTGATATTGAACAGTTTCTGGTTTAAAAGTTGACATTTAAATACATAGAATATCAACAAAGATAAATAACCCAAGTTCACTTAGCTCCCCAATACAAAAGCATTCAAGCACTCATATAGGCTAGATTAGTTCAGTGGGAAAGGACTTACAACAATCATCTAGTCCAACTGCTTGAGCACTTCAGGGCTGACCAAGACTTAAATCATAGTATTAAGGACATTGTCCAAATGCCTCTTAAACACTGACAGGCATGGGGCATCAACCACCTCTCTAGGAAGCCTGTTCCAGTGTTTGACCACCCTCTAGGTAAAGAAATGCTCCCTAATGTCAAGTCTGAACCTCCCCTGATGCAGCTTTGAGCCATTCCCACGCATCCTGTCACTGGATACCAGGAAGAAGAGATCAACACTTCCCTCTCCCCTTCTTCAGAAAGCTATAGAGAGCAGTGAGCTTGCCCCTCAGTCTCCTTTTTGATAATACACATAACAAAGATAATTACAATATAGTACTGGGCCAACTTCCACATTGACAGTAGACCCAACTATATATTCCCATATAATAAGGATTTGGCCAGAGAAGAACCTCTTCAGAAAGGCAAGAGTGCATAATTTTTCTGTTTTTCCTTTTAAGTTAAAAAAGCATCTCCATCCCAAGACAGTAATATGGGTCACAGTTTAATGCACAACCACAGAAATAAAAACTACACAGCGCTATGTCATCTAATTAAATTAATCAGGAATCACTGTGACACACTGTCCCTGAGTAGACAGGCAAGCGGCTATAACCTCAGAGCAGACTTTGTCACAATCCACAATTAAAAGTTTAACAACTTTACTGAATCATTGTCCTGGTTTGAGCCAGGATGAAGCCACTTTCCTTTTTACTGTTTTATTTTCCTTCAGTAAGCTTTCTTTTAACTAGCAGTAAATGTTCCAGTTAGTGGACTGATAACACTGGAATGTTTATTCTATTGTCAGGACTTCATGGTCACGTCTTTCTCTGCTGGCTCAGGCACTACTGGGAGATCTATGATGACCCCACTGGAGGCTGAAGCAAAATCGGCCAGAGATATTCCATTCCATTCCGTATATCTACATAAGCTGAGAGGAAGGCCAGAGATCACAGAAGACAACTTCCTTCCTGCTTCTTCTTCCCTGCTCTTCCATCCATGGCCAACATCCAGGGAGGACTCTGTCCATCCATCACCATTGATCCCCAGGCTGTGCATCCTTTGACCCTTATAACTCTGCACTCTCTCCAGCAGCAGTCCGGGACTTTTTGGGACTGTTTGCTGCTAAGGAGAGTGCTGTGGGAGTTGCTGGGGGTGGGGGGAGGCAAGGGGCTTTTGCACATATCTGAACATATTTGTATATAATTGTATATATTTTATTATATCATTAGTGTTTAATTAAAGCTGTGTAGTTTAGTTTTCAATTCAGAGAGTCTCTCCCTTATTCTTTCTCTCCTTCCCTACCTGGGTGGGAGGGTGTGGGAAACTGTTCTTTTCTTCCCCACAGAAGTCTAAACAAAATGCCTTTTAAGCCAGTGAAGGCCTCTCCTGATTATTCCCAGCTAACGGACTAAAACAGACTTGCTTCTCAAGAACAGCTGAACCCAAAACAACAGATGTGGTACGGGACAGAAAGGATGGGTGACAAGTCATCCTATGCCCCTGGTAGTCACCGCCCTAACTTGGGGCTCATGGATGCTCATTGGCTCTGGACAGTGACAGTGACACTGACTGGACAGGTGGGTCACGGGGGTATAAAGGCGGCGAATGCAGCAGGTGGGCCCTTCCCTCCTCCCTGAGGCCAGTTCAGACACTTTCTGCGTGGGACACCCCGTGCTGCGGACACTGGTGCTGGGACCCTGCCAGCCCGCCTGACCGCCCCGGGTCGAGCCTGGGCCTTAGCGCTGAGCGTGTCGGGGTCCTGAGCCCTGGGGTCGGGGCCGGAGCCCCCTCCCCGTGTTGCTGCCGGTTGCTGGGGAAACCAACGACCGCTGCACCCGCTGCCGAGCCTCGAGAGGCTGGCCCCCTGACAAAACCG